AGAGGGGCTGGCCGGGGACAGAGGAGCAGGGACCAGCCCCGGTGGCACTGGGACATCACGGCATCCAGCGGTTTTTTTAAAACGTGGGTGAAATACAGCCACTGGCAGCGGCTCTTGGATGGGGGTTTGTCCTCCACCCTTCATTATCCGTTAGTGGGAAATTCAGGCCTGGAGAGCTGAAACACGTCGCTCTGATCATGCAATGAGAAGCTGGCTAAATCCAAGCCGTCAGTTAAATGCAACGTTTACAAAAAAATCCACCGAAAGAATGCCACAAAAGCCCTTTGGATCCTGCTTGGTCTATGGGACTCTCCTCCAGCTGCAGCCCTATCAAAGGCAGGTGTTAGGGCGCTGCCCTCTCACTCCCCGCTTCCAGATAAAATGACGTCGTGATAGGGTAACTCTAAATTACAAACTTAATGGCCAGTTTTTAAATCCTCAGGTTTGGGGTTTTTTTTTTTGTTTGTTTGTTTGTTTTTTGTTAAAAGTACTTAAAATTGTCTTCCAGGAGCAACTGTTCTAATGCAGGAGATTCAGGTCTTCCTCCCCCATCCCTTCTTGCACTCTCACCCACAGCGAGTGCAACCTCAATGTCCCCCAGCACCTCTCCCGGGGCCCCTGCCCGGAGCAGAGCACTACTTCTCTCCCCAGAGCACCGTGTCTGGTGGAAACATGCAGATGAACCACAGCTGAAGCTCGTTTTAACCACAGTTTCAGCATGATCCTCTTCAGCTGTCCCCACTGGACAGATGCGATCACCATCCATGCAGCTGCACATTAGTGCCTTCAAGGCAGACAAATTGAAAGGGCTGCTGTCAAAAGAATTTTCATACATATACCAGCTAAATTAAGTTTTCCACATCAAGAATAATTTTCAAATACAATCGCTGCTCTAGATAACATGGAAAAATCCCTCAATTATAACAGCTCTTTTCTGCAAAGATCTGAATAGTCACATTTCCAAAATCTGCAATCCTATTATATCATCCTACTCTCTACATCACTTCCTCAGGCTACAGTTTCAGAAAACAGGGGCTTTGGCAAGACCATCACCTTAGAAAGTTCTCACGTGTTAGACTCCATCCCATTGTTCTCCCCTCTGTGCCACTGCAGCTGTGTCAGAGCCACTCTTTATGGAGCCTGTGAACCAGGCAGCTGATTAATCCATGTTATTTTTAATTACATTTGAGGAGGAAAAAGGGCTGGGGGAGGGAGGCTCACAGCACAGCCCCACAGGCAGTGGTGCCAGCATAGCCAAAGAGTGCAAAGCCAGGGACAGAGATTCCAAAATTTGCACTGCTGGCAAAGCCCCCAGACCATGAAAACATGTCCTTGATCACCCACCTGTCTCCACCTTCTTCCAGCTCCTGCGTTATGGTTTTCCTTCTTCTTAAGACTTCCAGTAAGAACCGAGAGCAATACGACCATTCAGCATTCTTAAGCTGAAAATCTTTCAAATGAATAGTGGCACAAGACATGCTCTGAACCCTTGTTTTTGAAGGGTAGAGAAAATCCCCCTAGTCCTTTCTGGGCAATTCCTACACATAAGGTCTGATGAGTGTGCCTTTGTCCCACATAGCAGGTACCCAGTGCAGTGTTAATCCATACCAGATAGGCCTTGAGGTTTTAGATTTAAAAACCAACCAACCAAACCAACCAACAAAAAACCAAAAATAAATCAAACAAACAAACCCCCCCCACTGATCGCAACAAAGTATGGCTGCAGAACTCTCTGGATAGTCAGTTACCATGCGAGCTCTCTCCTCAAAGAGGAGCAACGCACTTGGTGATGCTTTTCAGGGAACCCAGACCAGCAGCCAAGAATTACGATCAGACCACACCACTCTTGGCCAACAGTGCCACGGCAGCATGAACAGGAAACTGGATTAGAACTTTTCCTTTCAATTGTGAAAGTCTGAGGAGTAGAAAGGAGGGCAAAACAGAGCCCTCTGTAATTCAAACGAAATTTGAATTGAATTTGTAATTAAATTAAAAGTAGTAGCTTCAACAACAAACTATAAAAAAAAACACAACACAAGCCCACAAGGAAAACCATTTATTTCATCTCTATTGTCTCTAAGCAGAGCAGACCAATACAGATGAAGGGTGAAAATGCATAAGAGCAGCTGAAAAAATAGAGCTAGAAAATAAGATTCTCTCTGCATTTCCAAAAGTGACACATCTGGTGGAGTGATGCTCCATTTCCTCCCAAGGCTCTCCATCCTCAGCCCCAGGGCTGATGCAGTGGAACACTAACAAGCGCCTCCCCCCTGCAAGCCCTGTGCTACCTCCAGGGTATCTTCCCAAGAACCACAGACAGTCCAGCCCTGTGGCAGCAGCCAAGAAAAACAACTCGGAAATTATTTCTTCAGTGTCATCCACTTCACATTCCTGAATGCTGAGCACAAAATCCTGACTGTGGTTTTCAGTCTTGGCAAGGCTCTGTGCTGATGCAACACCACCAACTCATGGGCACTGACCTGGCAATGCCTCAACTTAAATACCAGCCTCATCTGGAGAAAGATCTTGGGGAACAGCAGGCACATCTTTCTGCACAAATCCACTTCCTCCAGAGCCCTGGTACAGGCTCTGCTTAGCTTCAGTCCCTGGGGAGGGGCAGGGGGAAGAACCACCCCAAAGCTAGACCACCCAGAGCACACTCCCCCCGTCCCTGCAGACTAATCACATTACTCCTCCTTCCAGGAAAGCAGGAAGTGGATGCTACCTTCAGGCTTTGTGACAACGATAGAGGGAGTAGTTGGCAAAGGAAGGCAACTTTGTAAAGAGCAATAAAAAAATTGCACTAAGCCTCCCTTGTTGTTGCAGTGAAACTGGTTACTGATGTAAGCCTGGGGTAAGGAAAGCTGAAAAAATAATTTAGACAGCAGTTCCTGGGCAGAGAGAACTGCAAGCTTGAGCTCTCCAGCACTCTCTGAAAAGTAGGACAGGCGCTGTCATAAAAAAAGATCTGTGTCAACAGTTCAGGAATCTCTTAGGGAGGTAAATGCCTCTGCAGTGGGCAGCATACCTGCCTCGTTGCTCTGACCCAAATCGCCCTCTCGATAAGGCCCTGCGCAGACGGGACAGCTCTGCTGATTTACAAAAGCTGTTTAAAGACACAGCTGAGTTGGGGCAATTCACCTTGTGGCACCTGTTTTGTGTCCAATGACTCTGCTAGTTCAATTAGACCTGCTTTTAAACAGATTTAAGCAAAGCAATAAAGAGCCCTGCAGAAGGGATGATCTAGTAATTGTGCACATCTCTGTAGCAACAAAACATTCCTGCAGAACGATGGCCTGGCCAGCCCCATGAGCTGGGATGTGGGCAAAGCACTAGGAATGCCATTTATTTTTATTGGCCTCAAATTGCCAAAAATCTTATCCCAAGCATCAAACAACAGAAAAATCTTTTTAAAGCATACTTATTGTCCCCTTTTGTATCCCTTTCTCTCCTTAGCACACAGCTTTTCCAGACTCATTTTTAAAAATCTTTTCACCAGCGGTTTCACCCTTCCTGTTTCACCCTCCTCCAGTATTCTTTGCTGCTGTGCCCCTTCCTTTAAGGGCTGTCAGTGTTATTTCTTACCCATTCATCCCCAACAGACTAACTCCACTGTGAGGTAAGAAGCCCAGAAATAGGCTGCCATCTATATTTTTGGTTATAGCATGTTCTTAAATAGTCTACACTGAGCAGAAGAAAAGCTAACCAGGGATTACCAGCTACTGACCAGGCTGTAGTGTTCAGCTGTTGCCCAAACTGCCCAGACCTCTGCCAGGACAGCTCAGGGCTGCTGCACCATGCCAGGCATGGCTATAAGGTGCAGCACCTCAAGAGAGCTCTGAAACGTGGTGTGCGGCAAATGGTGGGGGAGTCGGGTCTTGAGAGCAGGCTCAGAGCCGTGTTCAGCTAATGGTTAGGAGGAGAGGGAGCTCAGTCGCAACAGCTACATTGCTTTCCTTCCAGATGTAGGTGAGCTGGTAGTATGGCAACAGGAGGAACATTTACTGACCATTTTTCAGATAAATAGTTAGGCTGTGCTGGCTATTGGAGTGGTTACGGCTGAGGCAAGTAATCTCCAAGCTGAGCCATTTAAGTATGGGGACCTATCCTAAAGTGCCTCAAGCTTTTGGCTTCATTTCAACATACACAAATACAAAACAGACCGAAGAAGTGGACTGCTGAGGCTAATACTACCTTTAGGAACAAGTGATGTCAATGAAAAGCCAGAGATCAAGTTGGAAAGGGTCCTTTCCCCTCTATCCCGTAGCACCGTAACTTCTCATTGGTAGGGAGTTCTGGCTAAAGCTGTTAGTTTATTCTTGCTTTGCCATCCCTGTTCTGTCTCCAGCCCTTGGAGTGGTAGAAAGAGTCCTTCCTCTTCATCAGCTACAGGAATGGCCTCTGTTGTTTTCACACAAGAGCTTGGGAGGTGCAGTTCCATCAGAATGAACCAAATGAAACATCGTCCATTCAGTGTGGAGCAGTTGTTCAGTTCATTTCTGCTCACTCTATCTTTTGCTCCATAAAAAAAAAAAGAAACAACCCAAAAAAAAAAACAAACCCCCAAAAAACCAAACATGGAAGCCCTGATGTGTGGATTTTAGCAGAACAGGGATAGGAGAGCTAGGGAATGAAGTCCTGCACCTCTAGACCTCTTTCTCACCTGTTTCTCATACTAGCAGCCAGATCTGCACGCACACACGTAGGAAGTAACATTAGTGTTCCTTATTGCTTTTTAACAGCTCAGAGCCACTGTGGTGGCTCTGGGAGGCATCGTGAGGTCTGCGCAGAGGTCACTCGGTTGTGAGCGAGAGTAGCACCATGACTGTAATGCCTGTACACAGGAGCAGAATCTGCTGCAGGGAATTCCTGGGAAAGAAAAAGCAAAATCAGGGAGAGCCACAGACCAATCCCAACAGGCAGCAGCATAGAGGCTCACAAATGGTTTATTCTTTGCCCTTCCAAATCTACCACAACGAGAACACAACAGCTGTATGAAGCCGCCAGCACAGCTGAGAAGACTCTTCCCCAGCACCCCAAGCAAAGAAGTTGTCTATAAACTGACAGGTATTTGTTCCACTCAGCTGCAAGGCCCAACTTCAGGTTTCAAAATCCACTTGGAAGTGGTTCAGTCATGCAGCCACCCAGGTATATATTCATTCCTGTCTCTCTCACAAGAGAACCAGCACTTGTGCAGCATGTTCACAGGTACTTTAGAGACCTCATCCAGCTAACAACTACAGTTATGAACATTTTTTTTAAAAGCTGATGAATTTTACCATTCTTTTAGCACCTTCTCAGGTTAATGGTGGATTGCAGTGACCATGCACCTACCACTGCTGCATACTCTGCTAGCAGCTCTGTCAGTACAAGAAGTTACCAACCCAAAAGCAAGCTCCCAACTGGTCATTAATATTTCTCCACCACGTGGAGATATGACAGTGGAGCTGGTTTTTGAGCACTTCCTTAACTATTTAAGTTAAAGTGAACTAGGTGAGCCAAGGCTTCTTATTTAAACTACTGGAGTTACCTGTCTCACTACGACTGAAACAGGAGGGAACATTCAGGGGCAGCTCTGCCAGCAGATCTGAGAGGGCCTTTACTGGGGTACAGCTGGATTTGGACCTGCTACAGACTTAATCAGGCTACAAGAAACTAGAATAACATAGATGAGGGGAGGCCAAATATACCAGAATATATATACCAGTGTAGAAGAGAGATGACTGAGGTGGGATACAATAACAGGCTATGAAATGCTGAATGATAAAGAGAAGAAAACTAATTTTTTCTACTCACACAGCGGCATCTAACCAAAATTAATAAGCAAGAGGCTAAAAAACAATAAGAAGCATCATTTAACACAGTGCAGTGAAACTATGCAAACTTGCTGCCAAAGGGAGATGGCAGAAGCCCAAAGTAACGGATAGGGTCAAAAAGGGATGAGAGAAGCATGTGAAGGACAGGTTCACGTGTGCTTATCAGACACACACACACCTCTGTGGGACCCTGGTTCAGACAGTCCCTAAGCCAGCACATGCCAGAAGCTGACAAGACAGAGTGGGGAACAGGTCACCTTACTGGACAAGTTTCTGAGCAACCTGCTCCAGCTGGTCTGGTACCGCGCTAACACAATCTTTGGGACTGACCCAGCTGAAGGTTCTCATGTTTTATCGGGTCTTTGTAGTCCCATAAATGCAATAGCTAGCACAGCAGTCTATCTAGATTCCAGCCTTCCCCGTGGGATTTGGAAAGCTGGCATTCATGTGCTCCCAGAACAGGCACGGGGAAGGGTTATATCCCTGCTCCCTGGCAGTAAGAATTGCTGCAGCAGAACAGGAGGGAGCACTTACCAAGGATTCTTTTCCTCCAGGAGATCAGGCACAACATTTACCAAGGCAATATACAGAAATCCTCCAGAAGTGAAAGGGAGGATCCAGGCTACTGTTTCCCCTGAACAAATACAGAAAGCTGTTGTTATTGCTGAGCCAAAGCCACGGGAGAGAACAGAGAAGGGAAAGAAGATATGCACATGGGGACGATAGGCAACCCCCCCCACTGCTACAGAGGCTCCAGGGAGCCTTACCTGCGCCTTTTGGAGACTGAGCACATATTGCAAAGCTGGCTCCTAGAATCCCCCCCAGAGCTGTGGAAAGCTGCATCTTGGCTGCACTCCAGCGGTCAAAGCCAGCCCTAAGTAGGATTGCAAAGTCTCCCACCTAAGAAAACCAAGATCTGAAAGTTAATGAATATGAACATCCTCAGTCACAAAGGCCATCTGTAGCAAGACCAGTGCTTCAGGACTGCTTCTCATTTCCCATGTTGCCAGTCTCCCAGAGAGAGCAGCTTTCAAAGGGACTAGAAAATGTTAACCAGACCCAGTCCTCTTCTTAGTAGATGAAGCACCCTTGTAACCCCTCATGATGGCAGGATACAAAGCCCCTCTCACCTCATGTGGGATTTCGTGCAGGAGAATGGCCATTGTAGTCAGGAACCCAACCTGTAGCAGAGGAGAGAACATAATTAGGGAACAGTCCCCCAGCTCTGAGATGAGACTGATCAGCACATCAAGCCCCTTTCTCGAAGTTAAGACTTGTTACTCAGAGTCTAGAACTATTCAAGAAAAGGATAGATGAGCTAACCCTTCCCTAATGCCAGTACAAATGACTACCATGTCCCAAGTTTGAAGCAGCTCTGCATCAGAGTGTCAGGATAGGGAAACTTCCAGAAAATAGGAGTGAACTCCTCATATCTTTGGGGATTTTTTACATGTTGCGTCACAACTGAGAAGAGGCCTCTCCAGTTCAGTACACAGCTGGTGTAACCTTACCTTTCTGCTGACCAGGAAGCTGGCTGCTACTGCCAGGCCGTGTGTGAAGTTATCAATGGTGTTGGCCAGCAGATTGAGGTATCCACTAATCTGCAAAGAGAAGGAAGAGCCTCTGATAAAGGAAGGGACATAACAAGATAAAAGAAAGCACATGGCTTAGACCCAGGTCATACAGAGTCACGGTCTGTCATGGTCTTCTTCTAGTGAAGATCTTAAACGATGTCAGTGCTCAGGTAACAAATTAAAAACTATGTTCAGTTTTATAGTAAACTAAGTTTCAGGGTAGGCGAGTATTGTCTGAGATTAGGATAACGGTCTTACGCAAATGACAAAGAGCTCTAGAAACAGAAAAAGAGAAAGGAAAAGGAAGAAAGCCAAAATGCAAGAATATATTTGATTTTCTAAATCAAACTAATTTTAGGTAACACTGATTAATTTACACGGGTGACTGGCTTCAAATATGACCTGACCTTGTTTTCCAGTCATGTACTTTAATATCCAACTGTTCAATATCTCCTCTTCAAAAGCTGGCAAGAACAATGCAACAGAAGAAATGCTGCTGAAAATCACTTTTTATAACTAAACTAATCTTCAAGCATTGTACTAAAAAAGCTTGGTTGTGGGTTTGCTTTCCCTTAACAAAGAATAAAAAGAGAAGATAGTGATGACAGTCACCAAAAAAACACCTACTAGAAGGCGAGATAGCATGTATATGCATTTGCATATAAACACATTTCTTAAAATTCTAAGCATAAAGCAGCTTCCTTCCTCACAAGTCCATCTCCATGTTAAACTTCCCTATCATGCTAACTATGGTCATTTCCAGACAAATTCTGAGTAGTTGACCTAAAGCAATTTATGAGGGTACTACCCCAGGTCTTTTGCTCACAGGTTTTGGGTTTTTTTTCCATCAGATTTAACACAAACTACTGGGTGTGGGTCTTGAGATACTGCAGTTCACTACACAGCACTGCAGTTTAAATTATTATCAAACCAGGTGTTAGGCAATATTTCAGGCTGTCTCTGGACTGCAAGAGCTAAGCTCCGATATAGGGTAGCATCCAGTGAGTGGAGAGGAGAGACTCTCTAGAAACTGTGAGGCATTAACATCTTTCTTCACCATAGCATCAAATGCCAAAGTTCAGCCGGAAGAACACAAGTGCTGATGGGTTTCATGAGCTCTTTTTGGTATTATGCTCTTCCCTGTTTCTATCAAACTCTACTTGGGGCATCTTTTCTTCCTGCCATCCGTATGCCACAGCTTAGGTGGAGCTTTCTGTGAAGTCTCTCTCTCCAAAGCATCACCTTTCTGCAGGGCACTTCTACTGCACAATCCCAGGACATCTTTAGAGGCTCTAAACTCCTTTTAAAAGTGCACTGATGATTAAATATGAAAATGAAGAATTAAGGAAAGCCTAACTACAGATCAAATTTAAGTAACAATCTCAGTAAAATCTCCACAATGGATGCAGAAGTTCCATGCATATTTTTGTGAGAAGGGGAACACAAAGGGATGCGTGCAGGCAGACCCATTAACACAGCAGTTTTACTTCTCATTCCTCATTTTCTAAGATGACTGTCTAAAATTTCTCCTTTTTTATGTTATTGCATTTTCCCCACAGGCTAGTAATAATTATTCACATAAGTTTTACACAAAAATGCTTTCCCATACCACTGTACAGGGAAAAAATAGACTTCATGATTAAAACATTATGACTTTTTCTTGTCACTGGCTTGGGCAAAAGCTGTCACTGAAAGCAGCAAAGCCTTCAGGTGCTCAGAAATAAACTGGGCTGATTTGACAGTTATGAGCCTCTGACATTTACATTCTGTGAATTCCTAATAGGATGTTCTCATTGCTCACAAAGAGCACAGCCAGATGAAGTGTTTATGTTCATGCTTCAGAATTAATGTCACTGTGCAATAAAACATACCTCTACAAATCAGCAAGGACCCCATGTGCCACAGAGAAAAAGAAAGAATAAGCAAGGCAAAAGTACTCTACAATGCTTTTACTTGTTCAGGGAATAAAAACTGCAATGCAGGACACAACTGATCCACGTTTGGGTGCAAAGGAAGCTTCCCACCTGCAGTTTTCAAGCTAGGACAAATTATTGCAGCAGCAGCTACAGAGCAGAAGTTCTAACATATACAGGCAAAGGATGACTGATTACAGCTTACTAACTGTTAAGCCCCGAAGGGTTTTTTGTTTGTTTAAACAGTATTTTTCCCTTTTAGTTTTCCGGGGGAAGAAAAAAAAAAAAGTTACTGAGTGACCAGTAGAACCAAAGAAGCCTGGCTTGCTACGGCTTTCTCTCTTTTCCTTGCAAGCACCTACTTTGCTCACTTCCAGCAACACAGTTTCCCTGCACGTCCCTTCCCCACCCTGCACCTCCTGACAGCCACTTCCCCACCAGGCAGGGGCAGCCAGACCTTCACCTCCTGATCTACCAGCCAGGTGGACCCACCAAGCAGCATCTAGCATCTAGGTTCTGCCAGAGTTTTTCAACAGGGCATTACTTTGCATTCCTCCTCTACCACCATGCTGATTTTTATGGTACTTGCATAAGTTTGATAAGCCTCAGGACTTACATCCTCTCTTGAACTCAAGTAAAATTAATTAGGGGTTCAAAAGGTATTGAAAATGAAGGGCAGAACAGATGGACAGACAGATGGAATGACTGCTTATGTTGTTGCCTAAGGAAACAGGCTAACAATGCAGAAATATCTTGGTAGTTTTGGTAATTTCCCACCTACCAGAAAGACTATTAAAATATTCAGATTGTATGCTCAGAAGGTAGAAAGTTAAAACTACACACGTTAACTCATTAGTTTCTATTTCTTGCGTACTGACAACAGTCTATAAGACTGAACAGACATGTAAGGATTTTAAAGCTAGAAGGGTTCTCCGTGGTTGTCTAGATAGATCTTCTACATAGCACAACCGAAAGAATCTCATTCCATTTCTGCACAAAGCCCATGGTTTCTCAAGCTATAGTGTATTTTGTAGAAGGAAGCTTAAATCACAATTTAAAGCCCACAAGTGACATAGAATCTACTATGTCTTTAAGGTAAGTTGGTCCACTGGCAAGTTACCCACAGTTACAGAGCTGCCTTCAATTTCTAGTCTGCTACTGTTTGGTAAATGGCTTCAACTATCCAAACTTAGTCATGCCTCTTACATGGGTATTTGTATGCTCGAAGTCACCCCTGATCTGTCATGTCTACAGAGCTGAAGACTAAAGAAAGCCACTTCTTATCATGTACTGCAAACCTACGCTAATTATTCCAGCTCTTTCCTGACCCCTTTACAAATTATCTGTAGTATTTTGGATATTGTGAATAACACAACTGGAAAAACTCCGACAGCTGTTTCATTACTGCTATATAGAAAGAGCATCATTGCCTCTTCTCTTACATACTATTTCCAACTCACCCATCCTCCTGGCTGCAGCATCGTAATGGTAGAATGTGTTCAAACAATTTCCTACTGTGATTCTCACACTTTTTTCCAAGGCATTGACTTCCTGCAAACGTCCTTATCTTGTATATATGATCTGCATCCTTTCTTAATTTATTCCTTAATAGTTGCATGTATCAAAACATGTTAAAAATGTGTCTCTTTTGAAGAATTTCCTCAGTTTAGCCAGTATCACTGACCTCATGCAGTCACAATGTGCCATTTAAGTAATATAGTAGTATCTGCAAATGTGAAGATATACTGTTTTTATAAATAATTACTTAGAAAAATCATAAACCACCAGTGAACAGATTTGAGGGGGGCTGCACTAATCCAGCCCCTGTGTATTTTATAGAATAACTGATTTTTTAATACAGCTAACATTAGCAAAGTTGATTTCATGAAGTACTAATTTTATTATAATGTGAGAGAAAGTTACATTTGGTAGACATTTGCCAGTCTCATTGGCTTTATCAAACAACCATATGGCCAAATAAAAGGCAGGGAAAAACATCTGGTTGACAAGAATTTATCTTCCATAAGATCATATAAATTAGCATTAATGACATAATTATTTTTCACATTAGGACCAGACCGTGAGCAATTGTGTCCCCCACCAGTGTTTCATTTCTACTTGAAATCAGTAGTAGACTAACCATCCTCTGAGTTTCTATTTCCTTATATAAGCCTTTATAAAATAATGGCACAATGTTTCATAACCCAGCAGTACAGGTTACTTCACCACTACCACCTCTAGAAACACCAGTGTGGCCCCTTGCAGTTTGTGCAGTGTTCTCCATGGATTACACAAATGTGACAGGTACCAAAATACCCAGTGACCTCAGCATATCTTTCACATTGTGTAGTAAGAGCTATAAAGTTACCGAAAAACAGATTTAAAATAGAAAAAGACTGACAAGCTTCTGACTGACCGCATATCCAGGTTTGGGATAGTTCATGCAACCACACTTTCTGTTCATAGTAACTCTCCTACAATCCTGCACATTTTATGGGCTTTAAAACCCAAATTATAGGCTCTCCTTTGCCCAAGTGGTTGTTTACTCTCTTGCTTGTAATGTTCACTCAGATGGGGGTTTCCATAGTGCAAAGATAGTAACACGAAACTGAAAGCAAAGCCAATCTAAAGGTTAGCCACTGCCCAGTGGTACAGTACTCCTCTTCCCTCCTCCACCTCCAGTCCTGGGAGCTTGCTGATCTCCCTTATCCCCGCACTACAGGCTGCTGTCCACACGCCAAGCTGACTGAAGAAGTTGAGTCAGGAGAGAAATAAACCTATGGGGGGCAGGGAGGAAAGGAAAAAGAAAAGAAAAAGCAAATTCTTTGCCTGTTTAGCTCCCCGAATAGGCTCATGGTGAGGTCCAGTACAAAGGAAGTGATGGGAAATACAGGTTTGGAGGCAGAAGTGGACAAGAAGCCCTTTTTGGCAGCAGATAAACTGCTAATCTGAGAAACTGAACTTCTTAGTTTCACAGCTTCAACTGTCAAAACGTTTCCAAAAAGTGTCTTAAAAGGAAACTGCAGCTCACAATTGCTACAATGCAGGCACTAGAGAACAGAGAAATCAAGGTACAAAAATTTAAGCAAATAAAGATATAATTACTATAAGATATAGAGTAACAAACGTGAAAGTACTGTACTTTGGCCTCCAGATTCAGCCAAAACACACATCATCAGACTTATGCCTTCACAACAATGACTTTGCCTCTTTTGCATAAGCTGCAGTGCAGATTTTCGCCAAGTCTGCTATTTTGTCCCTGCTGTGACTTGGACAGACATTTTGACAGAGCAAAATTAAGCACAACTCACTCAAACACCAAGTTCCTCACTCAGGCACAGTTCTTTCCACAGGCAACTCATCCTCCTGACTGAATTTTAAAATATGTGCCCTTAAAACATAAGGTGTGAAGGTCAGTTTGTGGGTCTCTTACCTTGATTCTGTTGGCTGTTGGACAAGACCGGAGCGAAGAGCCATTGCACTGAGTTGAACCTGTTCCTGCTCTTTGGGGTTGGCCTGCCACTTTGGGCAGGGGGTAGCCACTTCCATTGGGAATCTTTCCAGCTGGTGCTTTGGAACCACAGCCCTAAATTAAGGGAAAACAACTTGCACTGCCTTGTTGTCAGTGATGAATGATCATGAATCAGGGTCAGAAATCACATCTTCACCCTCAAACCTTTTGTCTGTACAATGCAAATCAGCAACTTTGGCACCCCAGCTTAGTAACAACAACTGCCAGAAATGAGACAGACTTCAGAGAGCATTGTGACATCTGCACCGTGAGACAAGAACAAAGACTTCCCTAATCACCAAGAGAAGGAAAGCAGAACGAGAGCGGAGGAACTGGAGTGACACCCCCTTGGCATGAGCCAGGTACCACTAGAAACATGAGGGACTGAGCCTGCCTGCCACTCCTGCTGGCAGCTGCTGCCCAGAGAAATACAGCTCCATCCGGGCAGGGGATGGGGGAAAAAGAGTCTTCTTGCTCTCCCTAGTGCATCAGAATAACTAAGCCTAGAGAATTATTCTTATAGCTGAGATTGTCAGCTTCCAAACAACTAAATGTTCATCTCAGATTTCAGTCTCTCTGTAAATGAGAAGATTAGGTTCCTTTCAGACTTTAAAGTCAATGTAACACCCAATTGCTCTCATGCAGTGCCTGACCTGCAGTTCCACCTCTCCAAAGTCATGGTACAGCAAGGGCTGAACTAGCTATGGGAGCTGCTGCTAGCAGTTGTGCAGATGTCCGAGAACTCGCCGCTCTTGTCTATCTCGGAACTACCTTCTGGTGCCTCTGTCTGCATTGCCCCTTTGCAGCTGGGTGACTCTCCTCTGAACCATTACTTACTATTACCTGGCCACCCATAAACCCCTTCTACCATACAGAGTTACCCAAACAAATGCCAGGTCCAGGCCATACCCAAGAAGAGGGGGCAGTGAGGAACACCCTCCAGAGGAAGGTGGCCTTCTCTTTCCTGACTGAGGACCCAGAAGGGGAACGAGTCACGATTGCTCAGTGGAACACGCACCAGCAAGCTGTCATTCCTCAAAGCTTACTTGAGCAACAGTCTCATCTGTAGAGTGCTCCAGCTCCCAGTCCCCGTAAAGGGGAGCTCTCTTTTACACATACCACATCAAGAATAAAACCAGCCCAGAGGTGAGAAATCTCAGCTAAAACCACAAAACCAAAGCCTGGAGATGAAACACCTTCTTCTAGAGCCCTGCAAAGAAGTGGCAAAAGGCTCCCAAAGGCCACTGACAAGCTACTCACAGCTCCAGGATCATTTTCTGAGCCTGTCAGACAGGGCAGATGAGGTATTTAGCACAGTGCTCCAAACATAACAGCACTCCCTCCCCTCTGGCTGATGACTTACCACACCAGGGCACTCCTCTTCTTTCTCTAGGAAGATCTTCTCTAGCACCAGGAAGGTCAGAAAACCAATGATCACCCAGAGACCCAGAAGCTTCTGCTGCTGAAAGCTCTGCCCTTCTCCTGGGGGACAAGAGAGAAATCGTCATGTCACTATCATGTACACAGTGTTTCCCACATGTGAACCCACCCAGCCGCAGACAGTTTAATCAGCAGTTCCAAGAAAAAAAAAAAAAAAAAAAGGCAGTGGAAACACCTCCATATCTGAGGGACATATCTCACAGCAAATTAGTGTAACCTGCTCATTCTTGATCTAACAGATATCCTCATCTCAGGACACTCAGAGTGAGAGCCCCCAGTCCTTTTGCTTCACTAGTACAATCCAGAATATTTCCTGACAACACCAGGAATTTCTCTGAGCTCCAGAGGCAAGTGAGGATGACATCAAAAAAAATCCTGCAGTTGTATCTACTGAGCAGCAAGCCCTGACATGAAATCTGCCGTTAGTGGAGCTACACTCACCTTCCCCTTTCTGCCACACCTGGGCAAGTTATTAAGCCCTAAGCTATAAACTTTCTTTTCAATTACAGCCAAGCTTCTTAGATAATCATCCATTCAGCCTGGCTGCAGAAACAGAGATTGCATTGCAGTGGAAGAACAGAATGACTCTGTAATGACGCTTACATGGGTCATGGAAACCTTTCTGCTTCAGGACAGTCTGGCAGAAGCAAACAAGCCAGAGTAGGAAGGCAGAGTCATTTGGGAAAGGGGGGGGGGGGGAGGGGAAGGACAGTAGGTTCTGCTGGCAGTGCCAGAGCCATGAGGAAGAAGAGGACCAAAGGCCCAGAAGATTTCAAATCCCAGGACATAGGTGCAAGGAAGTCTGGGAAACATAGGGCATCTTTTTCCTTCTCTCACATTTTCAACACGAAAATGATTTATCAGTTTCTCAACAGGTAGGATGCAGCAGCACTTGCCTTCAATGCTATCAGTTTGCTGAAGCAGAGAAATACAATCACGACAGGTTTCAACAACCCTGGTTATCTGAGGGGTGAAGGAGATACGCCGATACCACAAGCTCTATCCCAACCCAAACAGTGTTCAGTTCACTGGCCAACACAGGTTTCTGTCACCTGCATTTCCTTTTTCTCCCCCTGCCACCCCCCCCCCCCCATTACTTACTTCTCCTTGAGCAAAGATTGAGAGCACAACACATTTGGGCTCCTGTAGATCAAAGTACCCAGTGGAGGGGCCCCACTTAGTTCCAAGAAGTAGGAGTAATGCTGTTATAGGGACAGATTTATAGACAAGATGCATCTGATGGGGCAGAATCCCCACCTGAGGTGGTGCACGTGTTCATGTACCAGACCACACACGCATTCATAACATCCCATCAGGTTAAAGAAGCATTCTCTTTTCTTACAGAAAGCAAAATTAACAGATTTACAGGAGCCCAGGGCAAGATAGGAAAAGTTGACAGACAAATCCATTGCAAGTTACTAAACATAAAGAAACCATGGCCAACTCAGGAAGCCTCCAATCTCAAAATCTTTGGACGACCGCAGAGTACAAAGATTAAGTATTATATGTGGTTTTATTGTTCTTATATCCTTTCCTAGGCATTCGCTTTTACACATTGTTTGAAAGAGAATAGCAGCCTAGACCAGTTTTTGGACTGACCCACCCTTGCTGGTCTTGTGTTTTCAAGATGGAACAGACTCAAAAAATGTAGCAGTAGGCATAGCATGGACTGCTTCTAGGCACATAAGGCTTTCATACCTGTCGTTGCACTACATGTGTAAGCCCAGGCTTCAGGAAGCAGGTGCAGAAACACATTCCCCAGTAGTCCACCAATAGCAAAACTCAACAACTGCTTCAAACGCTGTGATCCAGCTAAAACAAAAACAGAAACCTGATCATAACTCAGCTGGGAGCCAAAACATCTCCAGCTGAGATTTTGCACAGAGACCTAAATTGGAAGCATTTGCAAAGCAAGACTTCAAAGGAGAGCACAAAACAAATAGCTGGAGTGCTAGAAAAAGTCCTTGCACCACTTGGCTGGGAAAGCAGCATGTGGCGGGGTCCTGAACCAAGCAGAGTGCAAAACTTGTTGTACAAGCTCCATCCAGGGCTTGCATGTGTCTGAGGACTCCCTATCAAATTGGCAGGTATGGACCAAAGCACTGGAAATGGACCGTCTATTGTAAAGGACAGCATTTCTGTGACAAGGTCCTGTTCATCACTGTGCCGTCCAGTCACAGCCCAGGACTTGTGGCTTCAGAAAGGCTAACGCAGGTAGCAGGCTTACCTTCTGACCGCAGAGCAGCTCCTGTCTCAAACGGGATCACCAGTAAGGGGAAGACCCCACTCAGCCCCACCATGAACGAACCGATGAGGGAACAGATCCAGGCATCCAGCCGCTCGCTGCTGAAAAGGTTTCCCCAGGACTCTGCCTCCTTCTCGCACAGAGGACCAGAACCAGCAGCAACATGACTCCTTGGGAGCTGCTGAGCTTCACAGGCCACGATCAGAAACAAGGAGAGTGTCCCATCAAGCAGAAGCTTTTGTTTTGTCATCGCTAAGTGGTCTCAGCCAGGCTGGCCGATCTCTGAAAAAAGCAGGAAAGAGCAGTTCTGAGAGTGTGCCCGAGACTCCCTCCCACTATCCCGGAGGAAGGGCCTTGGTCACTCCATCCCCTCCCTCAGCATCTTGGCACAGGTACGTATCCCTGTGAGGAACATCTGAAACTCTTCCTGATTTCAATGCAGCACTAAAGGACAGAGAGGCTGTTTGTTTTCAGGTGTATGAAACTGCACATGAGATATCTCATAAAAGAGTCTGGCTTCCAGCATCTCCCCTCAGGTGTACTGGACAAAGACTCAAAGTATCCTTGTCCTTGCCCTTCAGTGTCCCAAAGCTTCAGAGAAAGGTATTGACCAGATGCTACCAGATAAGTCTTCTCTTTGCCATGGAACAGCATCCATATAACAAATTAGGATGCAAGACAGGCAACAGAACAGAGGTCCATATAATCATGATGGTGAACAGGGGTAGATTATTCACCACCTTTTTAGATGTAAGTGCTAACAACCATCACGTGAAGCCAGTGAGGGTCAGCTTCAAAACAAACAAATGTGACTCTTCACCGGCAGGTCACTTGTGTGGCAGTACTTCTCCAAAAGTGATGGAAAATTTTACATGGATTCCACAAGACTGGACAAGTACTAGAAAGACAAGTCTATTGAGATTGTTCATGGTTAGACAGCTCACATTAGGCTCAAGAAATCCCCTTATCTGAAAGGAGCTGGCAGCTGGAAGGGTATTTGGAAAATATATATATATCTCCTATTTTTACTAGGATAGTGGGTTAGATGGTGTCTTAGTCAAAATCAGCACAGCTGTTACTAAGAACTCTCCAGTCACAAGAAAAACTGGAGAGAAGCAGGCATGTTAGAAGAGGATAATAAAGATAATTACACTCTCATTGGCAAACAGGAAAGGAAAGCAATGAGTACTAATTCTCCTTCAGTCTCCAGAAGAAAAAGTTAAATGTGACAAGCAAAACTGATTTGGAAACAGGAGAAAGAGTGGGTTAGAAAAGAACGGCTTAACAAATCTTCACAAGACAGCTGTAGATTGAGGGAGTAACAGCATTCACCTGAAAGCAGGTAAGAAACCAAAGCAAACTCTGAAGTGTTAGTGACCATCTGGAAATTGACAGGAATATGGGAAGGCCACAGAAGGCTGGAGAAGCATCATGCCTCACCTACCTTGATAAAAAGAAAAAAAAAAAAAAGGTGGGAGAAGACTTAAGAAGTTACAGACCAGTAACTTCAATCTTCTGAAAGATTCTTGATCAACTTAAATGATCAGTGTGCAGTTACCTACAAGATAAGAAAGTGATAAAGATAGCAAAGCATTAAGTAACAGCCAGACAGAAAGGGGCTTGAAATTATCAAGACAACATCCAGGGTGTTGGAACCGATCTAAGGGCTTGCTGCAGCTGAAAAGGGCAGTGTTGCCCCTTGTCTGGCACCCCCACCCCTCACGAAGCATCCCCTCCCCATGCTCATGCCTGACTCCGTGGGTGAGCACAGTCAGAACAAACTAGCAGGAAGAACTTTTTTTTGAAGGCTTGGCCCTTTTCCAGTTTCAGTCCCTGAACTAAATCACTGCAGAAGGAAGGGCCAGCTGCAGTGAGCAACCAAAAAGAAAACTAAAGGACAGGGACCCACGGCTCCCATGAAGGACAACAATGAGCTCCAAGCACAGGGACCATGGACATCAGGAGCACAGAGGCTGCAAGAAGGAACCAGTGAAGACAGTGGCTTGGCTGGCTGTGGAAGAACCACTAAAACTTTTCATGGCAAGATAATGTCTGATCAATTGTAAACTCTACTGACCCATAGAAAACCTAACACTTTTGTTTTTTTTATAAGAAAAAAAAAATCCCTTAACATAGCAAGTTCAAACCAGCTCAGGATTTTGTGGCATCTTATTGCAGTGTTTTGATCTGGCTGCAGGGACCCTAGACCTATAGCATACTATCAAACCAACCTCAGTAAAGATCAGTAAAAAACAGCATACTAGGGAAAAAAAATCAAATGGACATGACAAAACAGTAACTCCAACATGCCAGAAAAATTATGCAGGCATGCATTACATTGATTCAGAAATTAATTCCAAGCCAGCAACATAAGCCTGCTGCAAACTAGGCAAATGACATCCTGGGGCATATTAGCAGCGACACTGTAGGTGTGACAGAAGCAGTGGTTCCATTCCACTCCACACAAGGGAGACTTTAGCTGGCAGACTGCACCCAGCCTCACATATTCTTTATAAAACAGATGCAAAAATCAGAGACATTCCAATGGAAAGAAACAAAAACTACAATGTAGAAAGCATGACCTGGAAAAAATGACCGAAGGACCTGGATGTGTTTAGTCTTAAAAAGATAACACTGAAGGGAACAGAACAGTCTGCATACATTAAGTCAGAAGAAAGGGGGAAAGTGCTCAACTGTTCTTCCAGATTGTAGCATCGGCTCAAATGGAAAACAAGATTAGGCCTGGACATGAAGAAACCAATGTACATAGTGCCAAAGTGTTGATGTTCTGATAACAGGTTATCTATAATGCAAAATCACCAGCACTGTTTTTGAGAAAAAGCACACCTGATGCACATGCTATTTCATTGCAAAGACTAGATGCCTTCTTGAAGTTCACCCAGCCCTACACCTGTGATTCAGGTAAGCTGGTGAGATCTTAAAATGTTAGCTATCCCTAAGTGAACAGCTTCTTCTGTCCCAAGTACTCATGCAGGCTGAAGCCATCAGCCACAGAGGCATCTGCGCAGGGAGGTGACGGGACTCTTCCAATTACACCAGCCACAGCCTTCTCTCTGCTCACTAGCTGCTGCATAACACCCTGCAGCTAGAGAATTTCCTGCTTTACAACAGACAGGCACCCCTTCCAACCCCAGAGCGGGCCTGACGGAGGTCCTCTTCCTTCATGACAGGATTAGACCTAGAAAATGACTGAGAACAGCTCCTTTGTGAGGAACAGAGCAAAAAAATCAGGATTTATACAACCACCTTATGCCTATGAAGAGGCAACAAACACACACAGCAAAACGACTGCTCTCCACAGCTTGGCAAGGATGGGAGGTGGCACAAACTGGCCTCTGCTGCAACGCTGTCGTCACAGCTTTTGAGAATTAGTCTGGAAAAGTAATCACTGCAATTGATCCAACAACTCCGTTTGTTCCATCTTGTTCTCCACGCTCACAGCCCGCATCTGCCCCAAGGAACACGTGAAAGGGTCTTTGAGGCTAAGTGACCAAAATCCTGGAGAGAGGCAGTAGCACACAGGACAAAGGGCATACCCAGGGCTCTGAAAACAGGCTGCATACCTGGCTTCGTGCCCTTCTTCCAGCAGCAAAGGGGACCACGTTCCTCCCAAAAGGGATGGTGTTGGACAACAAATGGGCATAAAAAGGTAGAAAACTGACTAGCCTAATTCACATTTCTGTCAGTCAGCTTTCTGTGGCTCACGGGTCTTTCTTCTCTTGCCACTCACACAAGGCAAAAACAGAACATTTCTTTATACCTGTGCTGCCTGACCATCATTGCCTTGTGGCTCAAGAACATCACCATATCTCATGCAATAAATTCCTGATGCTTACAAAATATCTATGAGGAACTTGGTGCATCATAAAGGACACACCTGAACTGATCTTTGTGCCCAGCTAATTATTTAGAGCATATTCCCAGCACTTGCTTCTTCCTAACATATCATAACCTCTTGCTCTGAAAAATGCACTTTTTATCTCTACAGCTCCTTTGCTTCTCTAGCTCATTAGTACATGCTCCTCATAAGACATTAAGTTTACTTAATGTTTGTGAAGTGTCTAAATTCAAATTGTCTGCTCCTACAACAAATATTTAATAGGAAGAAAAGGAGCAATCAAGATGTAGTCCTAGGAAAAAAAAAGCTCAAGAGATAAAATAATACCCTGCCACCACAGTTTGCAGAAGGTAGAAGAAGTCTTTACCTACCTATAATTTTAGACAACAGCATCTGTTTTAGGAACCCTGCTAGAGAAGGTCTTGAGAAATTTCTAGAGAAAGGACCTGCAGGTTCTCAGGGAAGTTTGTGGTCACCACGAGGCAGAGGCATAACCAGGTTTACAGAGATGTGTTTTTCTCAAGAAAGGTATATGACTTATTTAGGAACATTGCACTGGAGATAAATAGCCAGTGCATCATTTACTCATCAGTTTTGACAACAACACTGTTTGGGATCACAGCTCCCAGCTGTGCTGGATCAGAACCTGGTCACCATTACCATGGGCTGCACTCTCCTGAGCAACATGTGTTCTGTGCAGGCCTCCGAGACGAGCATTCAGGTGTCACGTCTGCTCAGCTCCTTCTGCAACAGCCTCAGGACTGGAGTAACTGTGAGGTCTTCCCAGCTCAGGAAGATGAAACAAATGAGAACTTGCCATTTACACACCCCTGAGTGGGGGCAGGAGGAGGCTGCACACCAAGCCAGGAGCAGAGGTCCTGCTGTCCTCCCGGGACCTCCCCAACGTCACAGCACTGACTGAGCAGTGCCTGAGAAAACATGGACAAAACTTAAATGCCAAGGCAAAAACCTATTGGAAAAGAGAAAATAAAATACCGACACGACAACGATTCCTGTAGCAACTCGCCTCCTCCCCTCCTAGACACTCTGCCTTTTCAGACCACACAGCTTCATCTCTGTCTCAGCACAATTGCTCATCGCCACACAATGACACTTTAGATGATGTTGGAGGAAAAAAATGAAAAGGCTTTTTTAAAAAATGTTTTCCCTGGAAGCCAGTTGCCTGGTCTTACAGTTGCAAAAGAGTACCGCATGGAATGGAAAAAAGTTATTTTCCAGGGAGGAAGCATAATTTTCAGCCAAAAAATTCTCCACAAGCCACCTCCCTCCATTAGCCCTGTGGAGAGCTCTGAATTCCTCCTGGAAGCCCTGACCTTGGCAGAGGCATAAAAGATCTCCAGTCCAACCCCAGCACTCCCTGCTCTATCAAT